CAGGGTCTACGCGGTCGATCAGGCAGAGGCAGCACAGCAACCAGGTACCATGTCCGGGATGATCGTTCTTAATGATATTCCTGTGTTCGCTTTATTCGATACCGGAGCAACACATACCTTTATCTCCCGATGGTGTCTCGACGCCATCGGAGTTCATGCAGTTACCGCTGTCGATCCTCTCGAGGTGAGTTTAGCCTCGGGACGAAAGATAGTGACCTCAGCCAAAGCCTCAGACCTGAGCCTTTCCATCGGTGGCCGAGTATTGACCGCCGACGCGTTCGTTCTCGAGATGAAGGATTTCGATCTTATTCTCGGGATGGATTGGCTATCTTTCTATCATGCTGACATCAGGTTCCATGACCGGGAGATTACTCTCTATCTTCCGGGAGACGAGTCGATTACTTTCTTTGGCTCCAAGAACCGTTCATTGCCTCAGGTCGTTTCGATGGTGAAAGCCACTAAGTTATTGCGACGAGGCAACTGCCAGGGTTACCTGGTAAGCCTTGTTGAGGAGTCTCAGAAAGCGCGGACACCTCATGATGTTCTTATCGTTCGCGAGTTTGTTGACGTCTTCCCAGACGAGCTTCCAGGAGGACCGCCCAACCGTCAGGTGGAGTTTTCCATTGATCTTATCCCAGGGGCCGGTCCAGTGTCAAAAGCCCCATATCGCATGGCGCCTAAAGAGTTACAGGAGCTTAAGACTCAAATTCAGGAGCTATTACGACTCGCTTTTATCCGACCGAGTGTGTCACCATGGGGAGCACCCGTTCTCCTTGTTAAGAAGAAGGACGGATCTATGCGAATGTGTATCGACTACCGGGATCTCAACCGGTTGACGATCAAGAATAAGTACCCGCTTCCCAGGATCGACGACTTATTCGACCAGTTGAGGGGAGCCTGTGTATTTTCGAAGATCGATTTACGGTCAGGCTACCACCAGCTGAAGATTAAGGAATCAGACATCGCTAAGACCGCTTTCAGGACTCGTTACGGCCATTACGAGTTCGTAGTCATGCCTTTCGGTCTCAGCAATGCGCCAGCAGTGTTCATGGATCTCATGAACCGTATCTTTCATCCATACCTCGATCAGTTCGTTATTGTCTTCATTGACGATATTCTCATCTACTCGAAAAGTCGAAAGGAGCATGAGGAGCATCTGAGGGTGGTTCTCGAAACCCTCAGACGAGAGAAGTTGTACGCCAAATTCTCCAAATGCGAGTTCTGGCTTCAGCGAGTATCTTTTCTGGGTCATGTTATTACCCAGGCAGGCATCGAGGTGGATCCTTCTAAAGTTTCAGCCGTGCGGAACTGGTCGACACCGAGGAATCCGTCCGAGGTTCGCAGTTTTCTCGGATTAGCTGGCTATTATCGCAGGTTTATCGAGGGCTTCTCCAAGATTGCCCTCCCTCTTTCCCAGCTGACGAGGAAGACTGTGAAGTTCGAATGGGCTAACAGATGTGAGGCGAGCTTTCAGGAGCTCAAGAGGAGATTAACTACAGCGCCGGTGTTGACTATCCCTGATCCTTCTCGGAGTTTCACTATCTATAGCGATGCTTCGAGGCAGGGCTTGAGATGCGTCATTATGCAGGACGGACAGGTCGTTGCGTACGCTTCACGTCAGCTTAAGCCCCATGAGCAGAACTATCCTACGCACGACTTAGAGTTAGCCGCAGTCGTTCACGCCCTGAAGATCTGGCGTCATTATCTTTATGGCGGACGCTGCGAGATATTCACAGACCATAAGAGCCTACAGTACATCTTCACGCAGAAGGAGCTTAATATGAGGCAGCGCCGTTGGCTCGAATTGGTCAAAGATTATGATTGTTCCATTCAGTACCATCCGGGGAAGGCGAACGTCGTCGCAGATGCCCTAAGCCGAAAGGTGACGGGAGACTTGACGTACGTTATCACGCAGCAGAGTCCATTAATCCATGAATTTGCCCGGATGCAACTTCAGGCGATTGATGCACTCCCCACAGCTGTTTCGGGGAGCACTAGTGCCAGTGTCAGTGCGATGCAGATTCAGCCGACACTGAGGGAGAGGATTCGGCGAGAGCAGGCCTCTGACGAGTTTGTGCGTGTCGTGGAGGCCAAGGTTCACGCCGGAGGAGTACAGGACTTTCAGCTAGGCGCCGATGGTGCCTTAGAGTTCAGAGGCAGGATCGTGGTCCCGAAGGCCGAGGCATTGCGGAAGGAGATTCTATCAGAGGCACATACCGCACCTCACTTGGCCCATCCCGAGAGCACGAAGATGTACCACGACTTGAAGGGGTCGTTTTGGTGGAGAGGCTTAAAGAAGGACGTCGCAGAGTTCGTTAGGCGATGTCTTACCTGTCAACAAGTCAAGGCCGAACATCAGAGTCCGATTGGCCTCCTACAGCCACTGCCGATTCCGAGGTGGAAG